GTCGATTCCGATTTGCATCCGACAAAAATACATGCGCGAAGGACGAGCGTGTCGTAATTGAGATTCGCTAATTAGTACGCGTTATAATAAGGCACGATGACACGCGTATATTTATTCAAGGCTAATCACGCGATCGTGACCCAATCTCGCGCGTAAAAAAAACAAATAATGAGAAACTGATATTTCTCTTTGTAAACAAATCTTACCGAAAAATTTCAGAATTTCTTGCGAAATTGAGCGAGAAATCCACGATAAACAAATCGAAGGAGCAAAATTCACGTTACTTTGCAACTTATCTGCACTGTGTTCTCAAACCTGTATTACATTCCTGGGATTATGCGTTTTATCGAGAAGAGGTCTCTGTAATTCTCTTTTTCCCTTTTCAGTTCGTCGCGAACACAAGGTTATTTGGAAATATCACACTCGCGAATACCACCATAAACAAGAGCTACGAGATCATGTCGATGTACAATGCACGCTTATTTATTCTTTCCCATCGCGGAAAATAACCACGTTCAACCTCGAAGAATGCACACTTTTGTCTTGAAAGAAAGCGTTGAACGTTGAACGAGTCTATAGCGCGAACACTGCTGTCACGTCCACGATGACGCGCGGCATCGAAAATTTCGGCGATCGAACAACGAGCATGCCGTCGTCTTCCGTCGTCGAATCGCAATGTCGCAGTCGAAGACAAGCTCGTATACGGGGTAATCGCACGGGAAATTTCGTGAGAGAGAGAGAGAGAGAGAGAGAGGGACAGGAAGAGATCGTTACGTGAGAACGGCGGAAACTCTTCGCGGTTCTGCCAACGTCGGCACGTATCAACGAACGGTTGCGAACTGTCGCCTGTCGCGCTCCGCACGGCCGTGACGCCAACTTCGTCGCGATGATTCTCGTCCCTAGCGCGTCGTGAAGTAAGCCTTGCGGCGCGCGTCACGCACAGCTGGCACACACGCGATCGTCTTCGCCCTAGTTCATACCGACAATTTATCCGTCGCGTCGACCGCGCATTGTTTACTGTTTACCAGCGAGCATTTAAATCGGAGTAATTACGTTTGCACTCTGATACACTAGAATGATCATTTGTGCTTTCTCGTGTCGGTAGAGATCGCGACAGTTGTCTGCGCTTCTTTTATAGCGTCGACGTTAAACAATAACCTATAAATTATAAATTAAGTGGGAAAACTGGCAAATAAGAGCCAAGACGCAGATATTGGCGCGAATTTATTATTGTTAAATTTTAGTAATAAATGTCTATTAAAAATGTATGTAACGATTCGAAACGTATCTTTTTAATATACATTTATTACTGAAATTTAAGAATAATAAGTTTGCGCATCAGTACCTGCGCCTTTGCTTTTATTTGCCATAGTTTTCCCACTTAATTGTTTTAATATTCTGAGCCTATTGTTGTTATTACTATAAATTATAGCAACACTTCAAACACTATCTTATGTGAATTCTTATTTTTTATGACATTTTATTATACTTTCCACAGAAGAATCTTTTAATATATACTCAAAGAAAAAAAGAGATTTATTAGTTAATTCTATATAGTTTATGATAGTAATTGCGTCTCTTTGTGTATATAATTGAAAAAAGAAAGAACTTTTACTGCGTTGAAAATTATATACTAGACAGTTTCTTTAATCTGATGATTTGGCTTTCGATTTTGTTATGGACCAGTACAATATTAATATATTCATTGAGATAACACAAAGCACGCGCATGAGCAACGCGTGCTAAAGCAAAAATTGTACTGTTATAGAAATCTTTATGATATGTTTCACTAGAATGTCGATAAATTAACCTACTTTCAACAAAAATGAGTCTGTCCACCGTGAGTGATTATTCTATGCTGGAAAAGATTGGCACCGGAAGTTATGCGACTGTGTACAAAGCATTTAAGAAGGTACGTGTAGATTTTTATATTTAAAGAGTATATGTACATAATATATCGAGAATGGTTATAATGATCTGTTTGTTTTGTTTTTGTACTTTCTTAAATTTTCTGCACTTTAAATAAAATAAATATGTTCGTAGAAAGAAAGAGAGAGAGAGAGAGAGAGAAAGCGAAGAACCTGAACGTAGAAAGTGCAAGCGGAACGAATGGATGTAGTATCGTAGCTATTACATATATCGGAAATGTATAGGCATACATATACATA